TTTTTTCTTTTGTTCTATTTTCTTCATTTTATTTTTTTTCTCTTTAATTTTGTGCCATTAGACTAGCAAAATTTAAGTTTAATTTGTATATCTTTTCCTTAATACTTGCTTTCATGGCCTATTTTTTAAGTTCCTTGGCTGAACTTGTAACTGATGTTTAAGGCATTTACTATAGAACAATGCTACTTTTGTCTTGTGTAATATAGTAGAACAACCTCCCCTTGCAAAGTCAAGATTTACTTAAATGCAAAAGCTTAAATGTTATATTTTCAAGGAAAAAAGTTAGCCTTTTTATGTGTTTGGTTGAGGCACTTTTGTATGCATGAAGAGGTGGATTGTGTTTGGATGTCATTGAATATGAGGTGATAAATTAAAAAAAAAAAAAAAATATTGGACAAATTTAATAATTTTTGCATGCTGCAATATTTTAGTTAAAATTAATATATGCATGCACACATCATATTGAACATTTATTTTATCATATGATCATTAGATATAATTAGCTCTGGATTTAAATTAATTCGTTGGATAAAACATTTGTTGCAACACGTACTATACATTAATTCGTTGGATAAAACATTGGTTGCAATTCTATAATTTTTTTTTTGGATAAAATTCAATGTAAATACTATGAACCTTCATAATTTCGCGATCCTCCCACGATGTAGGAGATATGACAAATTATGAATGTTTATGAACTTTAAATTGCAATTCACCAAAAAGATAAATTAAGTTGTACATTCCAAAAACACGAACAATAATACACGCCGTAAAATTGTTTTATTGGCCTGATTTTGCTCAAATTTGTGTTTTTTTACAAGTGCACAAAGCAAATTTAATCAAGCAAAAATTATATATATATATATATATTTTTTTTTTATTTAACTTGAAAATGTAGCAACCAATAAACATACACTCTTTGGAGACCGACCACCTTAAATAAGACTGTTTGGTCAGTTAGCCGTGCATATATATATAATTAATGGCCATTATAATGGTTCCACTTACAAACCTAAAAATCAAGACCATATATATATGCCAAAAAAACTGAATCTTTGTACTGTTGCTTATATGCCAAAACCATATGGGCAAACCCTAGTTGATTGTGCTTCCAATTTTGTTAAATTCTGAATTTGAATTGATGTAATAGTTTAATTCATTAATATTTGAGAGTAAACCCTAAACCCGAATGACGATAACTAATGAGATATGACGACAGTAAAACCTTATCCTATCTAGTCGTCGACCGAGTCAACTCAGTGAAGTTGACTCGAACAATCCTCTACAAAACTCGCTAGATCAAATAAGGCAATTAACATAGGGAGATTCCGAACCAAAACAAAGTTTTGTGAAATCATTAATAGAGAT